TCACCTCTAAAGATCACAAAATGTTACACTTCTAATGTTTTTAGTAGAAACGTGACTTTTTTAAAATAACTTACTTAAATTTACAGGAAACTTTTCATACTTTAAAACAAGGCGAACTCAGGCCAACATGTCCCAGAAACCCATCACCTGAGACCTTGCACCTCGTCACTCCCACATAGAGTAACTCGACACTTAAACATAAAGTGCATTAAAACCCTTTTTTTTTGGCTCGGACATGTCTGACACATACAGAAACTCAACACCAATCTTACGGGTTTAACAGTATCAGCACTGGGAATTCTCTGCCTCCCACCTGTACGTGGAAATCCCAGAGACAGACTGTTGGAATGGAATGCGCTCTCTCTCTCCCCGGAGGCAAATTCTATAAACATAGAATTTTACTGCTCTTTGAAAGAGCTATCCGATCAGTCCCACTCCCCCGCTCTTACCCTGTAAATCTGCAAATTTTTGCCGCTGCTCTGCTTTTAAAGTAGAGAAACTTCTGTCCTAACCGCACGTCCCGAAGACTGGCAGAAACCGTCCCGAACAACATTTTTCTTGACTCCAAACCTTGTTATCTGAACGCATTAAACTGCTGTTTGTGACAAGTATTTAACTCAAAAAAAGTTAACACTTGGGAGAGAAATGGAGGTGAGAGAAAGAGAGCGAAGGGGAGAAAATACACGTTTTGAGGAGTGATTAAACCAACCAAACAAACACCTCCTCAGGGATGAAGACAGTGTGTGTGTGTGTGTGTGTGAGAGAGAGGATAGACTGGGGGAGAGAGAGAGGATAGACTGGGGGAGAGAGAGAGAGAGGATAGACTGGGGGAGAGAGAGAGAGGATAGACTGGGGGAGAGAGAGAGAGAGAGGATAGACTGGGGAGAGAGAGAGAGAGGATAGACTGGGGGAGAGAGAGAGAGAGGATAGACTGGGGAGAGAGAGAGAGAGAGAGGATAGACTGGGGAGAGAGAGAGAGAGGATAGACTGGGGAGAGAGAGAGAGAGAGAGGATAGACTGGGGGAGAGAGAGAGAGAGGATAGACTGGGGAGAGAGAGAGAGAGGATAGACTGGGGAGAGAGAGAGAGAGAGAGGATAGACTGGGGGAGAGAGAGAGAGAGGATAGACTGGGGAGAGAGAGAGAGAGGATAGACTGGGGGAGAGAGAGAGAGGATAGACTGGGGGAGAGAGAGAGAGAGAGGATAGACTGGGGGAGAGAGAGAGAGGATAGACTGGGGGAGAGAGAGAGAGAGGATAGACTGGGGAGAGAGAGAGAGGATAGACTGGGGGAGAGAGAGAGAGAGGATAGACTGGGGGAGAGAGAGAGAGGATAGACTGGGGAGAGAGAGAGAGAGAGGATAGACTGGGGGAGAGAGAGAGAGGATAGACTGGGGAGAGAGAGAGAGAGAGACTGGGGGAGAGAGAGAGAGAGAGACTGGGGGAGAGAGAGAGAGAGAGAGACTGGGGGAGAGAGAGAGAGGATAGACTGGGGGAGAGGAGAGAGAGGATAGACTGGGGGAGAGAGAGAGAGAGAGGATAGACTGGGGGAGAGAGAGAGAGGATAGACTGGGGGAGAGAGAGAGAGAGAGGATAGACTGGGGAGAGAGAGAGAGAGAGAGAGAGAGGATAGACTGGGGGAGAGAGAGAGAGAGAGAGAGGATAGTGTGGGGGTGAGGGGGTGTAGGGGTGAGGGGGGGTGAGGGGGGGGAGGGGTGAGGGGGGTGTGGGGGTGAGGGGGGGGAGGGGGGGGAGGGGTGAGGGGGGGAGGGGGGGGGGTGAGGGGGGTGAGGGGGTGAGGGGGAGGGGAGGGGGAGGGGGGGGGAGGGGGTGAGGGGGGAGGGGGGGGTGAGGGGGGGGAGGGGGAGGGGTGAGGGGGGGAGGGGGGGAGGGGTGAGGGGGGAGGGGGGAGGGGTGAGGGGGGTGAGGGGGAGGGGGGGGGGAGGGGGTGAGGGGTGAGGGGGGGTGAGGGGGGGTGAGGGGGAGGGGTGAGGGGGGAGGGGTGAGGCTGCCTCTGGGCTGCGCTGTACCTGAGGAGCCGCCTCACCTGTTGTGGCTCAGACACTGACTGACAGTGGCGGTGTTGGGGCTGTGTCTCCGCTCCGCTCAGTACCGCCGCTCAGTACCGCCCTCTGGCGGCCACACGGCCCTCCCGCGGGCTGTGGGGGATCCCCCAGCGCCCCCCCCCCCGCCCCCCCCACAGGGTCAACAGTAACAATCCTTACATTTAATATAAGCCCACAAAATACACAGTCACTACACTTTACAGTATATCCTGTGAAGCGCTTTGAGACGTCTTCATGACGTGATAAGGCGCTGAATCAACAATAATAATAATAATAATAACGCTCCTGGCAATTGATACGGCGCCCGATCACGTCTTTGCAACGTCTCAGAGCCCTTCGTGGAATACACCGTAAATTGAGTTCGAGTGGATATTTTCTGGCGAAGGTGATGACGGTTATTAAAGCAGTGCCTTCCTTGTCACACACTGTTTATAGGACCTCACGCGCGCGATACACTGCAAAGTGTAGTGATTGTTTGCGGAGGTGAACGCGGCAGCTAAACCTGCACACGGCAACGTCCCACAAACATCCATGGAGTGAGTGACCAATTTTATCTGCCCGTCCTGTTGGGGGCTTTGGCCGCAGAGTTACCAGGAGCTGAGTGGGATGACTCCGAGCCTCCAGTGACTGGTCTGTCTCTCCAGGTCCCGCCGATCAGCCAGGCTGGGCTGTGCCGTCATCAGCAGCGCCCTGGAATACTGTGGATCCGTCTGGTTCAGGAGAGAGAGGGGATAGACTGGGGGAGAGAGAGAGAGAGAGAGGTGGGGGGTTGACTGGAGAGAGAGAGAGTGGGGGGAGAGCCGGGCGGGGTGTGAGGCTGCCTCTGGGCTGCGCTTTACCTGACCGGCACAGAGGGCTGACTCGATTCCGACATTCGTCACTTCTTTAAAGTCAAATTAATTTTAAAGCCAATGATGTGCAAATTATTCTAAGAAGCTACAGAAACCTGTTGCAAAGGTAAGACTGAGTTCAACAAATTGACGAATTCCAGGCCCACTCAGTTGCTAAGAAAATAGAATGGATCTCGACCCGGGCGGTATTTCTCGTTGTCTATTTTTACAAATCTTAAATTGAAGATTCTGATCAGAGGAATGAAGGGCGCGGCGAGAGGAATGTTTTACAGTGGAATGTTCAATGCCTTATTCATGATAATACCAAGTCCATGACAGGCGTTGCGTAAATTCTTGAAGAAACATAACATTAAAGGGTTTGAGTTTGCAGCACAGAACTCTAGTGGGAGCGCCAACATCCACACAGATAAGATGGGGGGAGAATGAAATTAGAGCAGAGAGCTCCAGTGGGGGAATGAACACCAACACATAAGGAAACTCTCTTGACTGAGGTGGAAAGCTATTTGTTAGGTCAGGGTATCATGGGATATGGAGCAATGGCGGGTATTTGGACTTAAGGTAAAGGTAAGCCTTGATCTTGTAGAATGGTGGAACAGGCTCGAGGGGCTGAATGGCCTCCTCCTCTATGTTTCTATGTTTAAAAACATTCCAAGCAACAGTGGATGGGCTACACGGGAAATCAGGAAATTTCTCGAGCAAAACCCTGTGATTGGCTCCTGAGTGCCTCCCCCATGAATTGCTGCCCTTGTTTGACATTGGAATCCAAGCCCCCCTCTCAGGGACCCAGTCTGTCACTATATTCTTGTGTGCATTAGCTACGTTGCCTTAGGTAGCTGATTTCCCATTAGAATTTGCTCATCGTTAAAGGTTCCTGCACATAAAAGGCGATGTGAAAGATGCAATATGAATTCAATTTGTTGTTGATGTCGTAACGCGCGCTTACATTTTTACCCAACAGACAAAATGGAGTAAGAAACAAGGGAAGCGTGTGTAGTGGGCTGGAAATGTCAGAAAAGTGAACTTGGCCATGTTTTAGTGAACAGGAAGCCACTTAACAACAACAACAACAAAATTACATTTATAGGGCGTCTTTCATGTCGGGAGGACATCCCCAAAGTATTTGTCTGTCTTTCCACATTTATAACGATGTTTGTTTTAATGGGGTTCACTGTAACTCCAGTGGGGGAGCTCATTGCTGCATAGATGGGTCGAAAAAAATATTTCTGTGCTGTAAACTGTCTTAAGTTTGTAAATGACTCAATGCCCATTGTTCTAACCTGTACAGGAAATGAAAAGGATTTTGTTCAGGTCACCACCATGTTCTAGAGACTGGACAATACATAACGTGAGTTATAGAAGGGAAATCAACCGGATATTTTGTGGGGAGGGAAAGGGTTCTTCTGAACATGCATCAGAACAGACAGGTTCAGCATCTGAATCTTGCTTTAACATCACATCAGAATGAAACCACCTCCGACACACCCAAGACTGCATTATAGTGTTAGACGAGGCAGTGGGTTCAAAGTTCTGAGGTGGGACTTGAACTCACAACCATCTGACTCAAAACGTAAGAGTGCTGCCAACTTTATAAAGTAAAAATAATAATCTTTGTATTTGATAGAGAGCCTTATCATGTCATTGAGATGGCTCAAAGAGCTTCACAGAATATACTGTAATATTTTGTGGACAAAACATGGCAGTCAATTGTACACAACAGTGTTCCACAAACAGTGGTGGATTGATTGACCAAATTATTTATTATCAATTTGTTTAAAGGGATTCTTACATACAGAAAGCGATTCGACAATCGACTCACGACCGTGTTCCTACGTACTGCTAAGAAATCAGAGGCGTGTGGAATAAGGAAACTAGTTTAACGTTTTGCCCGCCTGGGAATCAAACCCAGGACCTCTCGCTTGCTGTGTTTGTTAAGTTGTTGTGACAAGGTGGAAAATAGCCTTTTGTCCAGTGAGTCTATTGCAACTAAGGAATAAAACCGAATAAAGACACAAATTCCTTCCAATTTCGTTCTACTTTTTTTTTATTTACCGCTGTAACACACCTTAAAATAATCATTTGTAACAACTGAAATGAAACATATAGTTTATTCTCATTCGCGTTAATCAGAAAGCGAGTTTCTTCCACTTCAACTGTACAGCATATGTTAAAAAAATATTTAAACTTCATGCTTATTGTCAGCACAGAAAGGTGGAATGCTGCAGGACCGGGATTTCACCACTAGGTGGGGCTACTGCAGCCAGAACTCACCGAGGACCTCTACAGGTGAACAACCAGTACTGCACCTGCAGTACCCAGGGTTGACCTGCAGGTGTCCTCGGTGAGTGATGAGAGGCAGCAGCTCCGCCTAGTGGCGAACTGCATGTCCTACAGCATTCTGTCCACACATCCATTAAGAAGCTGGAAAAGGAATGTACAATAACGAGCAGTTACTTTCACACAATTAAAATCCTACTGACACTTAGTGTTCCTCCCAGTAAGTGTAAGCAGTTCATGGATGACACTTACTCTTCGCGTTCATCCCCATTGATCAGATCAGGGTTTATAAACTTGAGCCCCAACAGTTTTCAGGGTAGAGAGCAATCTTCCCAACTTTTTTAGAACCATCTGCTGCTTTCTGCACTGCTCTGCCTTACAGCCTCACTGGGCTAAAGGTGTAGAGCATCACTTGGTAATACATACTGGAACATTTCAATGTACTCCACAGGTCCTGCTGATTTTTTAATGATTACGATGGTGGTGGTGAATGGGCTGTTGGAGGTTGTTCAGTGTAACACTGTAATCAGATACTTTACACATGGTTGGTGTTTGCTAAATTCATAGCAACCTCCTGTGATAGGAATAGGAGGGTTAGCATTGAGCACTCTCAATGGGCGCTCTTTGTATTTCTAATCCCGTTTCTCCACCTTTCCTCTCTTAATATCTGATCATCCCAAATCTTTATTCCACCTCCCATTTAGACAATGCGGTTGATTTGAAAGCTGCAGTGTTATTTCATCCGAAAAGGGTTGCAGTTGTGCAACATTTAGAGGCTTCACAAGTTCCTTCGTGTAAATACCACAGACTGCACAGCCCTTCTGATGGTGGATATGTCTCTGCTGCCTTTTCTAAGAGTAACTATTATATCAGGAATACTACACTTTACAAAATATCATTAATTAGAAATCAAATATGCTTTGGGTGAGGCAGTAAACCAAGTCGCACCATCAAACAATGTCATACTAGAGCAATTCCCAGAGTAGATTCGATGTGGTATAAGACTGGGCTGTGTGGGGTCTTCAATCATTTTAAATTAAGATGCAATGGTGTCTATTTAATTCACAAGGTTGAGATCAAATGGGCCAAAGGACATCTCCATCTAAATCTCTTATTGTGGACTACAGCAATAATTTACTTGGAACTGGCAATGTAATATTTAGGTGACCAATGTCAAAAAAAATGTGGTTACTCACTTGTGGGAAACTGTATATGCAATTGGCGGCCACATTTCACCCATGAAATATAGTCAATTGGCTTTACAGTATGTTCCGTGAAGCGTTTGGAGACGTCTTGAAGACATGATAAGGCGCTACATCAAATGCAAGGATTGTTATTATTTGTTAATGTATTGAAAACTCCACTTGGCACGAGAGTGGGGTGCTTTCCCCTGTATCATCAAGCTCCTGACCTCAGCCGCAATGCCCTGGGTCTATACACACATGGATTCTGGCAATTCTACCGTTAACCTCCTTGTTTAGGCCCTACAAAAGGTTCTGGGCTGAACTCACCAATGGGCAGCACTCGGCAAAGGAATAAGACCTGGTCAGCTCTGTACCTCTTGCAGGCCAGATCTTACAAATTCTGTACCTGAACCTTCTGGGATTAGGGTAGTAGGATGTGCCCCTCCGGGGAGAGAGAGTGCACACTCTAATTGGAAACTTCCGTTCATGTTGAGAGAAGATGACTCCGAGGGGAACTTGTAGACGTATATAAAATTTTATATTGGATTAAAACAGTGAACCTGGAACAATACAAGAGCACAAGAACAAGAGGATTTAGATTGAGAGTTGCAAAGGGAATTTCAGGACAGACACCAGGAAGTGTTTCTTTTCTAAGACAGTAATTAACAACTGGAACAGGGTAGCCAGGAAGGCAGGTGGAGGGTTGTACGTACACTGGACTCATTTAAAATAGCTTGATTCTGTGGTGATGGGAGGACAGAGAGAGGATAAGGTCAGGCGGATCGAACTAATTGTTGTGATACGTGGAACTCTCAGTAGCTTGGTTTGGAGACTCTTTACATGTTGATGGTTCTCCACGAGCGTCAGTCCTCCGGATGACCAAACAATAATAGTAGCTGCCCATCAATCATCAGTGGTGAATATCGTGTGTTAACACTGCTACGAGTCTCCAATTATTATATTCAAAGCAATTCAAAGACATTAAAAGGGTTACATCTTACTTAAGATATTTGGTCAAATTTTAGTGCAGGCACTCCTACATTCTGTACAACTAATCACTACAATCATATATTCCCAATTTAAGCAAATATCATCAAACACCCAAACAATAGTTATGAGAGGAGTTTCAACCTTTGTTATCAGATCTCAATGACAAACAGTGTGTGTGTCTCTACGCATGTATGAGTGAGTCTGTGTGTATATGAGTGTCTATATTGCATGTGTGGTTGTGTCTGTTGCATGTAGCGTATATGAGGGCACGTGTATTTTCTGTATGTGTTGCATGTGTGTAGATTGCGATTTTGTATGTATATTACATGGGTATATTGCATGTGGCATGTATATTGCACGTGTGTGCATATGTATTTTGTGTGTGTGTATTGCAAGTGTGTATATTGCATGTTGCCATGTTTCTGTGCAGCTGTGTATATTGTGTGCATGTATTGTGTGCGCAAACGTACATGTGGTGGTGTACATTGCATGTATGGGTATATTGCAAGTGTGTGTATATTACGTGTTTTCTATAAATGTATCCTCCCATGTGCAGATGTTGCCTCCCGTGGGTCAGTCCGGGGGGTGGGGGGTAGGAAAGGGGGGGGGGAAACTGTTCAGCAGAGTGTTGGGAAGTTGGAGCTTGGAATCAGTAGGTCAGTGGATTCAGGATGAACAGTCGCTCTTCCTCCTTCCTGATCCATTTCATCAGCTTAGTGATGGCATTTACTGCCCCCGTCTTCGTTCCCATCGGACTGAAGCACATGTAGAGTTCAAACCCACTGGTCACCTGCAGCGAGAAATAGAGAGCACAGTTGATTTTCCTGAGGGTTTTCAGTCAACTCCATCTTTCTTATGTTTTGAGAGTCAGGAAACTCGGTGCTTGAGGACGTATGTCACAAGTCTGCTCATCACTCGCTGTACAAAAATAATCCTTACATCTGATATCGCACCTTATCATGTCATCGAGAGGTCTCAAAGTGCTTGACAGGATTTACTTGTGTAGTTGTTGGCAAATGTGGCAGCCAATTTGCACACAACGTCCCACAGCCGTGAAGTGAATGAAGCAAGTTTGTTGGCCAAGACACTGGGAGAGAGACCCTCCCTTCTCTTCTCAAGTCGTGTCCTTAACATTCACCAGAACAGACGGGACCTTGTATCAACGTAGCACCTCAGACATTGCAGCGCTCCCTCAGTATTTGCTTAGACTGCGAGTTCAAAGTCCAACATGGAGCTTGAACCATCGACCTCTGACTCAGAGCCAAGGGTCCTGCCAACTGACCCAGGCTGACAGTGGGTTTGATGGATTGTAACAGATGTGACAGATCTGCACTATGTACTACTTGGAGCAAACCCAGGCTGCCACTGCCATCGGAGTCCTGTAGCCTGGGGGTTAGCTGCTCGCCTCGCAGGGGAGAGGACCTGGTGCTATTCCCGGCCAGGGCAAAACTTTAAGCAAGTTTCCTTACTCTACACTCCTCTGTTTACCTAGCAGTAAGTAGGAACCCAGTTGTTATTCGATTAGCGGATCGCTTTCTGGGGATAATAATCCTTCAAAAATAAATAAGTAATTGGGCCACTCAACCCATGACTGTTTGGGGGACACTGCTGTGTGCAATTGGCTGCCGCGTTTTGACCACAAAATACAGTCAATTCACTTTACAATGTATTCTTGAAGCACTTTGAGACGTCTCAACGACGTGATAAGGTGCTATATCAAATGCAAGGATTGTTATTATTGTGGTGATCAGGCTGGTAAACACTTTACCATGCAAGTGACGAGCACTGCATCCTCTCGCTGTTAGTGGAGGCGAATGGTTATATGGTTCTTCGCTAATCCGTATTTCACTTGTGAGGTTAAACCACAGCCAGGATCTGGATCTGGATCTGCTGTGTGCAATGCCGCTCTGCTTGGCTTTCCTCAGACCCACGTGCTGGAGACTCAGCTCATCGGCAGGAACTTAACTGCACAGAATCTAACAGAGGAGAATAGACCAACCAGCCCAGGCAGTCTACAACTCCACACCAGTCTCCGTACAAGCCTTAATTTCCCCCTCCCTAGCCTCCTCCCACACCCCTCTATTCCCTTCGCCTCCATGTTGGTAGCATTCTTTCCTCCCAGTTAGGAATTTGTGGGCTCAACTGCAGTACTTTTGAACTCATAGTCTACGCAAACGCACCAGTGCAGTGATGGGGGAGCCCTGCATTGCTGGAGTTGCTGCCTTCAGATGAGAGGTTAATCTGAGATTCAGGTAGACAATAAAAGTCCCGTGGATTTGGATGGGACGTTAAACCGAGGTCCCGTCAGCCTGGTCACGTGGATTCATAGAAGGTATATTAAAGATCTCATATCACTATTCGAAAAGAAAAGGTAGTTTCTCCCAGTGTCCTGACCAACAATCTCCCAGATAGAATTAGTCATTTGTGGAACTTTGCTGTGCACAAATTGGCTGCCAGTGTGTGCCTACGAAGACACAGTCATTACACTTCACAGTAAATCCTGTGAAGCGCTTTGAGCCATCCTCCCAATGTGAAAGGTCCTTTATCAAATGTACGTATCATCATTATTTTTATGCAAATGATAACCACCGCAGCTTTTCACTGTTAGTGGAAGCGACAGGAAACATGGTAATCTGTATTTCAATCAGGAATAATTATCCTTGTGTTTGATACAGTGCCAAAAACGTCAATGAGGTCGCAAAGTGATTCACAGTAATTTGTGAAGTGTAGTGACTGTGTACTTTGCTGTTGTTGGCAAATGCTCCCAGGAAACCAGGAGAAACTCCCTTCTTATCTCTTTTCCAATAGTACCAAGGAAGGCACCTCCATCAATGAACCGTACAAGAACGTCAGCCTGGACTGAGAGCTCAAAGCAATAATAATAATAATAATCCTTGCATTTGATATAGCGCTTTATCGCATCGTTGAGATGCCTGAAAGAGAACCCATAACCTCTGTCTCGAAGGTGAGTGTAACTCTTACCAGCCAGGCTGATAGAATTGCTCTTCGCGCCACCCCATCTCCTCACCACACACACAAACCCTCAACACTGGCTCATCATTCATTGTGTGGATCTTATAATCAAAAGCCCCTGGTGAAGCCTCTCAGTGTGCACTCATTCTCTCCACACATGGGCTCTTACCCAGGCCAAGAGGTTCTCTCTCTGTCCCACGTAGTAGATGTACTTCAGCGGCCGTGAGGAGTTGTGGATGCGACTGTACAGATGCTGGTAGAGCTCCAGGAGCCTCTCTTGCTCCTCCTGGGTCACGTAGGGGTGCTCGACCTCAGGGCTGAAAAACACACACATTACTGCCCTGAGAGGGGAAATGTCCCACCCAATGTGGCCACAGAGCAGAACAAAGGTTTCAGGTCCTGACCCCGGGTCTGTGCTGAGTTACCTGTCTCTGCCAAGGTAGAGATCAGTCCTCACTGCCCGTGTGTTAAGGAAGGTGATAATCAGCCAGTGTTCCTGCTCCTGAATTCTCTCCAGTCAGTCCCTATTACTGTACTGTGAGTTGCCCATTGCTCCATATACCATTTGTCTTTTGTGGAGTTCTCTCCTCCAGAAATATGTGTCCTTCTTACCTTATCCTAGGCAGTTTAGATGCAAGAACCAAGGCCTGGGGACCCCATTGTGTACATTGGTGTACGAATGGGATTTAACCTGCTAAAACCAGGCAGCTTGTTATTGCAAACACTTCCCACTTGTCCAGCTAAGGATATCCCTACCCTTTAAGTTCGCATTGTTAGCTGACACCGAGTAGGAAACATCCAGCCCCCAATGACTGGGCTTCTTCAAGTCCGGCTCACAACAACTTAGGGGGGAAGGTGGGTCAAAGCGGAGGGATTGAGGGAGAGAGTTCCAAGGCTTCGGTGCATAGTGGCTGAAAGCAAGGCCACCATTGGTGGAGCGGAGGGGACAAGGGACAAACAGGAGGCCGGAGCCAGCCAAGCAGAGGGAGCGGGTAGTGGAGTAGCAGGTCGGAGAAGTAGGGAGGTGCTATAGTGTGAAGGTATTTGTGGATGAGTGAGGGGATCTTAAAATTGATCTGCTCTACGATTGGGAGCCAATGGAGGCTGTCGAGGACTGGTGTGATAATAGAACGGAGTTTAGACCGGGTGAGAATATGGGTAACGAACGAGGCGGGAAAGCCATTAACATTGCTGTGGATAGACAGTGCCTGGCTCAGTGACCACAGTGAGGCTGAGCTGAAGAGCCTACCAACATTCACCACTGCCCCAGCTGAGATCAGCCAACAAAGACCTTTGACCTGCGTGGCCAAACCTTTACTAGCTAAGCCATTAGGGAGGGGGAAGCTTGGCTGTGGTGTTCAGCCTAGAAATTCAGAGAAAACTGTACCTTGTGAACAAGCCTGAGCTCCTTGATTTGTAGATGAAGTGCCTGAGGTCTGAGATCCCCACTTGAGAGACGCAATAGGACGGAGTCTGCAGTCCATCCAGCAAGGTCTGGAAGGTGTTGCGCTTGTTCAAACGTTCCAGAACCTTCCTTTTGCAGTTGGAGATGGTGAAGAAGTGCTCGCTTTCGGTGGAGATGAGCATCAGGCACAGGCTGCTGGCCTGGTCCAAGTAGGAGATGTGGGTGTGAAAGAAACCGTTGGAGTTGAACTTGGGCAGACAGATGGGCGTCCAGACCTCACCCTCCCGGAAGGAGGAGGAGGCGCTGATGAGGTTGAACAGAAGATGGAGATCCACAGGGTGCAGGAACTGGTCCTTCTTCCTCACCAGGGTCACCAGTTGGTTTTGGGCAATGAGGATGGAAAAGACCAGGCTTTTGTCCTTTGCCTGCTGGAGGGCCCCGCTGATCAGGTCCCGGAGGGAAGCAGACAGGGGCAGGCAGCGCACGGCACACATTAAGAAGCTCGGGTCTCTGTCCATCAGGTTGAGCAGGTTGTCTGTTATCCTCTCGGAGCCCGAGAGCAGCCGGCGCAGGTCGTAGTTGGTTTTCTGCTCAAAAATGCGGTTGAGCTGGGTGAGGGTCAGGAGGCTAATGATCTGGTAGTAGATGTACAGCAGCTCCTTGGCCACTTCCTGCTCAGACTGACGGGTCCGAGCTACAGCCACCAGCACCAGGGGACTGCGGCGGATAAACACCACCTTGTAGCCCTCTGTGTGGTCCCCACCAACACCAGCCCCAGAGCCCCACCAATAGCAAAACACAAACAAGACAAAGATTCACAATTAGTCCAGCGCTTGGCTGTTGTAGGGTAAGGTACACACATAAACACACACATATACACACACATTCAACACACGCACACACACACACACACACACACACACAATGCGCGCGCGCGCACACACTCACAAATACACACACGCACACTCATACACCCCAGAATGCACACACAAAACACCAGGGAATATCAGCAGAATTGCCTGCAATGTTATAGCACAAAAAGAGTCCGTGCTTATACTCCACACAAGTCTCCATCCCTCCTCTTCCCCTATCTTGTACTCCTCAATTCCCTTCTCCCTCATGTATGCATCAAGTTTCAACTTAAATTCATTGATGCTTTCTGCTTCCAGCAGTGAGGCCTACATTCCCACCACTCTCTGCGTGAGGAAGTTCCTCCTAAACTCCCTTTAGGATTTGCTCCTCGGAACTGGATGCCAAAACGTGTGTAGAGCAGAATGCAACCACCCCACAGCTTGCCTTACTCTCAGATCTTTAGGGAGCGCAGAGAATTTTACCCTACTGCAGTGGTGGCCAACCTTTTGGTTCGCCCAACAAAATAAACGTTCTTGATTGATTTCTTGATTTGTGCCATAATTCTAGAAATATTTAATAACAATAATAATCCTTGCATTTAATACAGCGCCTCACAAGTGCTTCACAGAATATACTTCACAGAATATACATAGAAATATACTGACAATCAAAAAAAACCTGGAAACACACTGTCGATCAAACATGGATTGACCTAAACTAGCGCGAATGTTCAGGGAGGGACCACAGGTCGACCATCACTGCTCTAATGAATAAATTGACATTTCACACTCACCTGCATGGATAGACTTGATTACATTCTTGCCGGCCTCAATGACGGAAACCAACGCTACCATCACACCCATAGTGGTGGATAGTGCCTCTTCTGTGCCATAACGGGAGTAAATTGGTTTCCCAGCTTCGCTGAACACAAAGACGTGCTTGCGATGCTGTCTCCAGGACTCAGAGGTTACATCCTCCTCCTTGTCGGACAACGCAGAGTCTCTACAGGAGACCGTGCCCTCCACCTCACCATCCCTGATCTCCTCATCCATGACCACCCTGTTCAGCTGGGTGCTGAGCTCACTGAAATCCTTGCTGATCTCTTCCATCTGAGACTGGCCGGGGGAATCGGTTTCATCGCTCTCCTGTCTCCTCTTTTCCTCTTCCCCTCCTGTCAGGTCCTCGTATGATCTCGTGTGGACAAACATCGCACTGTCCTGCCTGGCTCCTAAAGAATAATAATAATAATCCCACAAACAGTCGTAGATTGAGTTTGTATTCCTTTTGGGAGGAATGCGATCCACCATTTGACTAACATTCGGGTTCCTACTCACTGCGAGGTAAACAGGCGAGTGGAGTAAGGAAACCTACCTAAGGTTTCGCCCAGCCCGGGAATCGAACCTGGGTTGAGTCCCGTAGTGTTCCTGCGAGATGAGCGCACTAACCATTACACGTGGAGTCCTGTAGCTCAGTGGTTAGAGCACTCGCTTTGCAAGTGAGAGACTTGAGTTCAATTCCCGGCAGAGGGCGAAACCTTGGGCAAGTTTCCTTACTCCACACAGAGCCTAATAATAATCCCTCCAAAACCAAAAACAATAATAAATTGGTCATTTTCAATCTATGACTGTTTGTGGGACATTGCTGTGCGCAATTGGCTGCCGCGTTCGCCCACAAATATACAGTCAATTCACTTTACAGTGTGTTCTGTGAAGCGCTTTGGGACGTCCTCCTGACGTGAAAAGCGATATATCAAATGCAAGGATTATTATTATTATGGGACTCAATAGTATATAGCTATGGGAATAGGGGACATTTGGTAGCCACAGGTTGCCCTGGGAAGGTAAACAAATAGCGACAGAGTAATAGATATCAGCAGCAAGAAACAGGCTGAGATCTCAACAGAGTTTCACCTAGTTTATAAAGTATAGTGATACACTGTCAGTGACAGCTCAGTAACCAGTCCGTGAATCTCAGTAACTAGTCAGTAACTTCCAGTAACTGGTCAGTGAGTCAGTCACCGGTCTGTGACTCTCAGTAAAACACAACTAGTCAGTAACCAATCAGCGGAAGTAATTGGTTACTAGGCATACAACAACAGTGCTACTGAAGTTCTCAAAGGGTTAAGAAGTTCTTTTCTGAGGAGCTCTGAGGTTTTATGGCTTTAATGTTAAGGTGCGATTGTTTTCCACTCACTTTATGAGCTGGTGGGAGTGGGGAGGGTGTAGGAGCCGGTGTACTTTATGATTGGATTAAGCTAAAGTCTCAATGTACTTTGCTCTGGTGTCCTGTCAGCATTGCTAGGAGACCAGGCTGTTCCATTCCATTGCTATCTGTGTGGCCAAGAATCAAGTGCACCTACTGCACCTCCTGTGTGCATGAGGACGTTGCCTAAGGATAAGACTGTGGTTGAGTGCCCAGTCAACACATATTATTAGGACTCACTCGGAGTGTAATGTGAGTGGTAACTGGTTATAACTGACTCATTGGTAGCGCTCCCGCTTCTGAAAAGTCACAAGGTTTAAATTCAAGTCCCCAAGTTGGGATTGGAACCCACATAGTCTACACCAATGGTGGCCAACCTTTTTGCATAATAGGATAGATTTGTGTCATAAATCAAGTGATAGTCAATCAAGAAACATTTATTTTCTTGGCCAACCAATTACTCTTCGGCACTATTTGAAAAGAGAAGGGAGTTTCTCTCTCCCAGTGTCCTGGCCTACAATCCCCCCAAATAAACTTGGTGATTCATCTCATGACTCTTTGTGGGACATCACTGTGCATAAACTGACTGCCGCATTCGCCCGCGAAGGTGCTGACAGGAGCCAATCAGGAGAACCTCGGACTTGTTGACATTCAACTGAAGAAAGTTAGCTCTCATCCAGGACTTGATGTCTGACAAGACATTCTGTCAGGACAGCAGTGGTCCTGGAGTCAAGGGTGGAGGCAGAGACATAGAGTTGGGTGTCTCCAGGGAGTTCTAGAAGGCACCTGTCACCTGTAGAACTGTCCGCAATGGAAGGAAGAAAAAGTCAAATACATTCAGAGGGGAGGAAGGGAGTGAAAATATTCAATGATTCAGTAACTCCCTGAACAGCGCCTTCTACATTATCAGACATCTCAAAGTGCTTTGTAGAGATGGAGTGGGAGCCTGAGCAGAGTGGGTTTGTTTTTGCAAAGGAGAGTCTACATTACACCAACAAGAATGACTCACTCTCACGCACACTCACTCACTCTCACACACACTCACTCACTCTCACACACACTCACTCACTCTCACACACACTCACTCACTCTCACACACACTCACTCACTCTCACACACTGTCATATAACTCACACACATTCACTCATACATACACTCAGACGCTCACACATCCCAACACACCCACAAACACACACTCAGACATTCAAACGCACTTGTACACCACACATACACACATACCTACTCACACCACAGATTCACCTCTTACCTGGCTCCGTCCCCTCGACCAGCCCAGGGGTGGGACTCTCAGACCTGTTATTGCGCTGGAGCTCAGCTGGGGCCAAAGACCCATTGATCTCCCAGGGTGTCTTCTTGTTGTGAACATCTGCCTCCATCCTCTCATTCCTCGGGTCACTGCAGACAGCCAAAGGGATAACAACAACAAAATTACATTTGTATTCGCCTTTCACATTGGGAGGACGTCCCAAGCCGCTGGACCGACAGAGTTTCAGACCCGAGCTGGGAGTCAGGATTGGGGAGGGTGGAGGGCAGGCGGGGAAGCAGGGAGATCGAAAGCCAGGTCGAAGAGGAGGGTCTTGAGATGGGTCTGGAACAACAACAACAAGAAGATTGCATTTATAGAGCGCCTTTCACGTCGGGAGGACGTCCCAAGGCGCTGGACAGTTGGGTCGGGACCCGAGCAGGGGGGAAATGGTGAAGGGAGGGAGCGAAGCGGGGTTAGAGAGTCGAGGGGGGAGGTGAAGGCACGGTTGAAGAGAAAGGTCTTGAGACCGGCCTTGAAGGAGGAAAGGGAGGAAGCGGCGAAGGCACTGGGGGATAGAATTCCAGAGCCATGGGGCTGAGAGGCTGAAAGCCCGGCCACCGATGGTAGGGCGGTTGGGGCGGGGGATGTGGAGCAGATCGGAGCCAGAGGAACGGAGGGTACGGGCAGGTAAGTAGGGGAATAGTAGGTTAGAGAGGTAGGAGGGAGCGAGGCCGTGAATGGCCTTGTAGGTGAGGATGAGGATCTTGAATTCGATCCTCTGGGGGATGGGGAGCCAGTGGAGGCGAGCGAGGGTGGGAGTGATGTGGTCCCGAAGCCTGGTGCGGGACAGTACACGAGCTGCAGAGTTCTGAATGACCTGCAGTGTGGAGGGAGGTGGCGGGAAGGCCGACGAGGAGAGAGTTCTCATAGTCCAGCCTTGAGGTGATAAAGGCGTGGACCAGAGTTTCAGCAGCGTGAGGGGTGAGGTAGTGCCGTAGTCTGGCGATGTGCCGGAGGTGGTGGAAGGCGGTGCCAGTTGTGGCGCGGATATGGGAAAGGGTCGAACAGAACCCCGAGGTTCCTGATGGCTTTGAGAGGTGGAGAGTGCAGCCTTGGATGCTGATGGTGTCAGCGCCTGAGGTGCGGAGGCGCTGACGTGAGCCAATCAGGAGGGCCTCAGTTTTGCGCACGTTCAGCTGAAGAAAGTTGTCTCTCGTCCAGGACTCGATGTCGGACAGGCAGCTGTCAGGACATCTGGGGTCGTGGAGTTGAGGGTAGAGGAGGAAAGGTAGAGTTGGGTGTCATCCGCATACATGTGGAAGTTAACCCCATGTCTGCGGATGATGTCACCACAGGGGGAGCGTATAGAGGGTGAAGAGGAGGGGACCGAGGACAGAGCCCTGAGGGACTCCGCACGAGACAGTGCGGGGACTGGAGGAAAAGCCGTTAGCGGAGACAAAATGAAGATGGTGAGAGAGGTAGGACCTAAGCCACTCAAGGACAGGGCCTTGAAGGTTGAGGTGGGAGGACAAGCGGTAGAGGAGTTGAAGGAGGCAAGAGAGGGGGTGAGGCGGAGGGACTGCGGGGTGGAGTTTCACAGGTTGGGGGCAGAGTGGCAGAAGCCCCGCATCCCCAATAGTGAAGCAGGCCGGGGGGACATGAAGCAGGCCGGAGCCATCCGAGTGGAGGGAGAGCATGAGCATAACAAGATAAGCATTGAGCTGAATACAAGAAGCAGTTGGGAAAAGAGCTGAGAGAGAGAACGAGAAAGGGACATTGCAGCAGATGCAAAACATGCCCATAAGAATTCAGTGGATTTATAATACGATGCCAATTCATATAATTTGTGGGAATAAACAAAGTTTTTTTTTTACATTTTACATAAACACCACAAACTTTTAAATAGAATTAATTCAAAACAAAGCAGTGTGTGGGTATGACATTAGAGGGCCAGTTCTTTTTCACACAATATCATAAACACTCCACAAACAGAGCCCAGCTCGGTGTTTATCAGAACACCCGTCATTTTACGGGCTACATCATGGCCAAAGAAGACAAGAGGTAATGTAAACCGTCTTCACTTGGTTTACCCACAGCACATCGTGGCTTTGGAGACATTTTCCTTCTTACTGACTTGTACCACATTCTCCCACCATATTTATCCAAAGCCACTAAATTGGATTCAGACAATATTGTACAACCCATTTCAGTAGAGAAGTTCGTTACAGCGACAAAGTGACGAGAGTCATTTTACAGATGAGGAAGAAGAATCCTCCTTGTATTTGATACAACCCCTTTCACATCAGCTGGTAAATACAGGGGTAGTGAAAACGTGACATCGTGAGATCCTTGCTAATAAGGTGAGGAGGGGGTGGGGGAGAAAACCAAGTGGCTACTAAAGGACCTGAGATTCACCACACTGCCTCACCTTTCGAGCAGCCATAAGTACAAGGAGAAACCTAGGCTGTGCTTATCATGCTGGGAGGAATATCCTATTTTACCTTCCTGCTCCACATCACATCATAACAGCTTAATAATCTGGGGCTCCTCAGCCTTGTAATGAGATGGCTCAGTGGGACCTTATGTCAAATAAATAACTAGGTATTAGCCTAGTTCAGTTGGTAGCACTCGGGACGCTTACTCAGAAGGTGGGTTCACGCCCCAGATCGGAACTTTGACCTCACAGTCCAGGCTGATATCGCAATGTAGTGCTGGGGGACGCTGGATTGTGGAGGTGCCGTTCTTTGGACTGTTATCACTGGAAATCAATCCGCCAATTGACTAATAACCAGGCTCTTGCTTACTGCTAGGTTAAAAAAAAGGGCATGTGGAGTAAGGAAACTTGCCTAAGGCTTCGGCCTGCCCGGGAATCGAACCTGGGTCCTCGCGCTTGCGAGGTTAATCTACCGTCCCACAAGCCATCCCAAAACCAGGACATGACTACCACGAGGCATCCCAGTCCTAGCATTTTTCAGGACAGCCCACACTATGTCTGTGC